CTGTCTCAGCTCCTGGCCTCTGCTTAATCCTTTGTGTTTCTGCCTCACCCAGCGTGGGAGCYGGGCTAATTGAGTTTTAATTGACAAGTCAAAGCCCGCTGGTGATTAGGCAGCGCTTTGGCTAATTAATTTAGAACAGGAGAGCGGAGCTGTTGTGGACACCCAGCTACAGCCAATGGACCCGATCTCCTYCTCCTGAAAAGAGGCAAAGTGAACATGACAGAAGATTAATGTGTTTTCTAACAACTCCCAGACTTTGTTAATGAATCACATTATGTTCAGCTGAAGTTTGGAGCCAGCACCTTTCTCATGTTGTGTTTTGCCTGCTTTTTAAAATCTTTATTGGGCTTTCCCAGCAGAGGAAAGAAGAAAAAATAAAAAAAAAAGGGGAATAATGTGCAAATCTATAAGCCTACAACATTATTATTTTTTTTTTAATCTCCTTCCCTTTGATTTGAAAAACCTCATTAGCAAGAATTAGCTTTYGTTCTACTGTCAGAGAGTGAAAGTTCCCCAAAAGCTTCTGTATATGTTTTATTAAACAGTGCTGTGCCACATCAATGCCAGTATTACTTAAAAAGACAGAGGAGGTTATAAAATTCAAAACATCATATCAGATTATTTATTTAGCAGCTGAAGCATCATGCACCTCACTCTGATGGAGATTTTTACTGATTATTTTTCTCCCTTCAGCATTGCATTCAGAATGAGCTTCTCCAGAACTAAAGAGATCAGAATCTGGTATTTTACCAAACTGTGCTATTTATTCTATAAACCCTTTATCTTTTAGTAAATAACTTATTCTACATTAACTATTATATTAAAATACTTCAACCCTCAATGACACAACTCAACTGCTTTTTTAGTATTTCTGATGCTCTCACTGATTCTCCTGATTATGTTTTCCATGTTGTTGATCGGCAGGAGTGGTGGTTTCCACATTTTTCTGTGGGATATTTTACAATTTGTTAGCAAGCTGCTTCCCTGAGAYTGGGAGCATTAAAACCAACTCCTGAGTGCCACAAAGAGCATTGCAAGGCTTCAGCAGGGACAAACCCCTGCCTCCTCAAGGCCRGGYTGGASGGGSTTTGGRGCACCCTGGGATGGTGGAAGGTGTCCCTGCCCAGCCAGAATCATTCTGGGATTCCACAATTCCCCCTGGAGAATGTGCCAAAACCCTGAGCAGTCCATCCCAGCCCARATTAAATCAATTTGCATGCATTAACCACATGCAGGAAGCACTGTGGTTACAGACAGCAACATTTCAGGTGGAATTGTATAAAACATTCCTTAACCATCCGTGCATTCCCAAAGGCTCCAGCTCTGGGAACTCCAGCCAGGTCAGTTTATATGAGCTAAGGCATGTGGAAATTCATGGGCTCGATTTTGATCCGTCTGTAGCAGTTCAAAATTCAGCCAATACCCACTCCAGTGTGAAAAATGAAATAAGTTACCAGCAGAGATGTTTTTTATTTCCAGGGGAAGCCAGTGCCTCSACAATGTGGGACAACAACGCTTGGATTTTCTTCTATGACAACAGCACTGAAGGAGAACCTCCCTTCTTGATCCAGGATTTTATCCATGCCTTCCAGCCCAATGCCAAACTTATCATCATGCTGAGGGACCCCGTTGAAAGGTGAGCAGGAAAGTTTTCTTATTTTAATCATTTTATTGGCTCTCACTCTCTTGAATGCAAGCAAATATTCCTGTGGTGTTTGAAAGCTGTTTGGTTGTGATAAGAGGGGTTTTATTCTGTGTATTTTGGCAGATGTAATTGTGATAATGGTTTAAAGAGAAGCATGTGAGCGTGAATGCCATGAGTGCCATGCCTGGACACCTGAGCTACTCTGAAARAAAGAATTTTTAGGTTTCCAAATGCAATCTAATGCTATTACCTGAGCTAATGTGCACTGGTTGTCAGCAGGACTCAGACTAGGAGGGCACTGYATCTTCACATCTCAGCATAAAGTGGTCCTGGGAAATGTTTTATTTCATTTAAGTAGCAAAATTTATGTTTCCATGGGGTTTGCAGTTCAAACTGATCAAATAATAGTGATTGATAATGATTAAATAGTTCCAGAGTCAGCAAACAATGCAAACTTTTTAAAATCTGAAAAGTGCTTGGTGAGGCACTTGTGGAAAGTTTCACTGGGCATTTGTAGCTTGAGAGCTGCTCAGGAGCTCATCCTGGCATTGTTTGCAGGGAGAGAGAGGGCTTGGCTTTTCCCAAGGCATGGAAAGCCTTTTTCAATGGCTATGGACAGCCAGAAATGCCCATCTTTCCACTCGAATTTCACTTTTTCTCTCCAGTCTTCCTCCAGAAGGGGGATATTCAGGACTCTTGGGGCGAGGGCAGAGCCCAGGAAAAGTCAGGGAGGGATGGGATAGGGATTGGGATGGGATCCATGGGATGGGATCCATGGGATGGGATCCATGGGATGGGATCCATGGGATGGGATCCATGGGATGGGATCCATGGGATGGGATGGGGAGGGGATGAAGATGGGGATTGGATGGGGATGCAGATGAGGATGAGGATGGGAGGGGATCCTGGGATGGGGATGGGGATGAGATGGGGATGGGGATGCCGATGAGGATGGGGACCAGGCTCTGGTGGATCTGGGAGAAGAGCAGACCCGGGGTGCTTGTGCAGGCAGCAGCTCCCAGCTCTGGGATGGTGTTCCCCAAGGAGCTGCCCTGCTGGCAGGACGTGGCTGTGGTGGGAGAGGGCTGTGAGAGGCTCCCCAGCTCCTCTGTCAGAAAATGCAGCTCTCAACTCGAGCAGCACCTCCTGATCCCAGGATTTTAATTTTACCGATGGTAATTTTATGCGAGAGAGTGGCTGGAGTGGCTTCCTCATGTAAATTAGTGACAAACTCCCTGATTGCCTTAACCAGCCTCTCTAATGGGGCTGTAGGTCTTTGTCAGCTTTAACAGGGGTGACAGAAAAAGTCAGCTTCACCTCCCTTACTGTACTTAAGATAAATTGATTCCTTTCCATTTACATTTCCTTTAATTCCTCATGGCTCATCTGAGCTGCAGATGAGAAGGGACAGCCCAGGGTCCATCAGTGATGTTGGGTGCCCTGTGTGGGGCTGGGACAGGCTCTGGTCTAACCTTGTCTGGGTTATCCCCAGCTGGGAATATTTGAATGACATCAAATGTTTTGATGGTTGTTGTCAACCGGTGTCATTATTTCATTGGAATGGACAGAGGTYGAAGGGAAGGACTTCAAGTAGCCAGAACAGCTGAAATCCTAATCAGCAAAGGCAGATGTCTCCAGAATTAAAAACAGATGGAGGAGGGGGGGAAGTAAAAGAAAAATGGAAAGAAAATCTTAGCTGCCCTGCAGAGGGAGAACTTGTCCTCCAGAATGCAGTTTTTCATGAGATGCCAACAAATCTGAAATAATATGCATTTTTTTTTTGATGGATGGTTAGAAATACCGAGCAGTAGTATTAAACCTTTTTAATGACATTTCAGCCTGGCCCATGCTGCACATGGTTGAATTTCCCCAGGAGGAAGCCTTTCCCCAGTCAGTCCCACCATCCCAGGGYCAACCTGAGTCTGGATATCCACATTTCCTGCAAGCAGGAGATGCTGTTGTGTGTCTTATTTAGGTGAATTCAGCTGGCTTGGTCCTTCAGCTTTTCCCTTTCCTCTTTTTCTAAATGAACAGAGAGTCTTCATTTGTTTCACGTGGGAAATAAAATCCTGTTCTTGCAAAACACTGACATAAATAGTGAGTGCAGAGGGGCTATTCCTGTGCTTAAGTGCTTTGCTGGATTAAGGCCTAAAYTTTCCAAATGAGGTGTTTTTAAGGACCTGAGGAAATCTGGGGAAGTTTAAGAATAAATAAAGTGCAACACAGAAGGTCAGTGCAGTAATAAACAGATCTGTGTTTTTAGGTCATTTTTTAGACACCTGTGATTTTTTGAAAGAGGCTGATAGATACATAGGATTTGTGGAACTTTGTCAAGAGATGGGTACTGTGAAGGCATCAGATCTGTRCTGCAAACAGACTTGGGGAAGTGACTCAAATGATACAGAAATGTCTTTAAAATCTRTGGTGGTGTTGTGGTTCTGGTCATTCTAAGCCTAATTATGGATGGAAGTTAAAATACAGATCTAATGTTCATGCCATGTCTGAGCATTTCWTTTGTCTCTTTGAACCATGCTTATCTTGCAAAAGCTTAAGCAGGGTTTCAGGGGTTAATGCTAAAATTTTCCTTGCCTGTAGGTTTTGGGTTGTTTTGCTGTATCACCTCCAGATGGATTTGAATTTACACAATTTTTTCAAAGTGATTTTAAGCCATTATAAAATTTGTGCTAAAAGTGTGCAATGAACAGATAGTCCTCTGTAACTTAGAAAAACTCCTGCTTCATTGCCTCATCTCAAAAAAAACCCAACTAAAATCAGCAGGTGGAATGCTGTAAATGGGAAGTTTTTAATAGAAAATCAATATATTAAGACTGGAGGTGAAGCTTCCTGTATAGGGAATGTGAAATCTGGAGTCTTTCTTACTTGTGGTGGTAGCCAGCTTAGTAATTACATAAAAATTACTCTTTCTAACCCACCTAAAGTTTCTAAAATCAGCTTTAAGCTTTTGGGACAAGGACTGTTCCTGTCCATGGATCACCACGTGTAGAGGGGCACCAACATCAGCTGGGACTGGTTCTGTTCACAGAGAAAATGAAATTAAAATTTGCCTTTAGGAGGAAATATTGGCTCACACAATTACTGGGGTCAGGTCTCCAGGGAT